TTGCATTTGCGACCACACCAGAACCAACAATTTTTCCTGACATGAAAATGAGCATAACTTCCTCATACGATGTCCAAATTCGATGATTCATTTTTTCTATGGCTCCGTAATTTCGATACGGATCTAACAGTTCAAACAAAACTGAATTTGGATCTCAATTTCTCAATATGGTATTATTTTTGCTTGAAGAAACGACGATGAAGCATCCAAAAAACAAGCGCAACATAGCCTAAACCTATCCGAAACTCACCCAAGCCCTCGGGGCTCCAAAAAAAACATGCACGCAAGTCTAAAAACATCATACAGACTTGCTCGTGCAATCAAATCATCAAAATAACATCAAAAACTATGAATTTAACCTCAAAACTCATGATTTTCTAACTTTTCAACCGGACGTCCAAATCACGTCAAATCTATTCTGGTTTTCACCAAATTTTACAGATAGGACTTAAATATCATGACAAACTTGTATCGGGCTCTGGAACCAAAATACGGGCCCGATACCAACAATTTCAAATATTAATTCATTTCTTTATTTCCTTTAAAAATCAGCACAACAATTTTCTTCAAAAATTGTTTTCTAAGGCTAGGGACCTCGGAATTCAATTCCCGGCATACACCCAAGTCCCATATTTTATCGCGGACCTTCCGGGATCATCGGAACATAGATTCGGGTCCGTTTACCAGAAATATTGACCAAAGTCAACTAAAAACCAAATTTTAACTCTGAAAATTACTATTTTTTTTCTTCATATTTTCACATAAAAGCTTTCCAGTTTCACGCCCGGACTATGCACGTAAGGCGATACACATAATATGAAGTTACTCGTGACCTCAAACATCCAAACCGGACGAAATTGCTCAAAACGATCAGTCAGGTCGTTACAGTTGTGATAGAGAAGATTATCCTTCCAATAAGGCAACTCCCAAAATATACTCTGTTTCGTCCAATTATGAGTAACACCGAATCCAGAGAATCTATAAGGTGGAGCTTCAGTAACTTTACTGAAGTTCTGGACCCTCTCCCAAATTTCCTCACCTGAAAGTATCAGAGGTGGAGAATCATATTCCATTTTATTCTTTTTGAATGCATTTTTCATCATTCTAAACTCATGATCATGAGGCAAGAATTGACTATGACAATCAAACCATGATTGCTTTCGGACATGTTTCAAAGTAAACGCTTTACTATTTTCCATGCAGTAAGGATAAGCTAGTTTTCCAGCAGTCATCCACCTCGACAACATTCCATACGCAGGAAAATCGTTAATAGTCCACATTAAATTAGCACACATATTGAAATTCTGCTTGGTTGATATGTCATATGTTTCAACACCATCATACCATAATTGTTTAACTCATCTATCAAAGGTTGCAAATATACATCAATCAAATTTTTGGATTACGTGGACCGGGGATAATACAATTTAAGAATATATAGACTAGTCATGCACAACTCGGGTGGTAGATTATAAAGTGTAAGAAAGACAGACCAACATGAATATGGTGTCGTAGATACAGAAAAAGGCGTGAAGCCATCCGCACACAGACCTAACCGAATATTCCTTGGTTCACTAGCAAAATCTGGATATGTCCTATCAAAGTGCTTCCAAGTTTCTCCATCTGAAGGATGACACATAACACACCAGGTGGTCTTCTATTTTCAAAGTGTCATGTCATATGAGGAGCAGAACTCATCGACGCATATAACCTCTTTAACCTAGGTATAAGAGGTAAATAATGCATCGCCTTGACAGCGACCATATTCCCGCTGGAAAGCCTCTTGAAACGAGGCTTTTCGCAAAATTTACAACTGTCTAAAGTTGCATCATCTTTATAATATAACATGCAACCATCTTCACAACAATCAATTCTCATTGACGAAAGTCCTAACTTAGAAACCAATCTCTTTGCCTTATAGAAATCACCAGGTAAGTTGATATTAGGGTCAACTAGTTCACTCATAAGGTCAATGAAAGAGTCCAAGGCTTCTTGAGAAATATTCCAATTAAATTTTATACTTAGTAATTTAACTGCAACAGACAGCTCAGAGTGCGGACTTCCTTCACGTAGTGGATAACTAGCTTCCTCTAACTGTTCATAAAAATGTTTTGCGTCATCATTAAGAGTTTGTTCAACATTTTCATTGGGCTCACCCCTAAAGTGCATCCCAAAAGCATCCGTAACCATATCATGAATTCTAAAATCACGATTTGTATTCTCCACCGACCTACTACTTTCACCAACAACCATGTTATGAAATATCCCACGGCTACCATCGATCTCTCCATGATTAGTCAACACAAAGTAATTCTCTATAAACCCCTTCCTATAAAGATGAAGCTTAACTTCCTCCGGTTTTTCAAACTTTATACAGTCGCACCTAACACAAGGGCACCTAATTACTCATTCACTTTGGTTTGGTGGAAGTGACATTGCATGTCTAATAAAGTTATCAACCCCTTCTACAAAATCCTCCCGCAATTCCCGCTAATTAGGATAATTCCTATTGTACATCCAAGTATGATGTTCCATCTATACAAATAAAACAAGAACAAATTAATTTAGTTAATTCATATCACAATCATTTTTTAGTTAATTCACATCCTAAAGTTCCAATTCATATCCTAAAAATTTAATTCATACCCTAAATTTTTAATTTATAAACTAAAAGTTCAATTTATAAACTAAAAGTTCAATTTATAAACTAAAAGTCCAATTGATATCCTAAAAGTTCAATCCATATCCTAAAAGTTTAATTCATATCCTAAAATTTTAATTTATAAACTAAAAGCTCAATTCATAAACTAAAAGTTTAATTTATATCCAAAAGGTTCAATTCATAAACTAAAAATTCAATTCATATCTAAAAGGTCCAATACATAAACTAAAAAATTTAACTACAAATCCTAAAAGCTCAATTCATATCCTAAAATTTTAATTTATAAACTAAAGTCCAATTCATATCCTAAAAGTTCAATTCATATCCTAAAAGTTCAATTCACAACCTAAAATTTCATTTCATATCCTAAAATTTTAATTTATAAACTAAAAGTTCAATTTACAAACTAAAAGTCCAATTCATATCCTAAAAATTCAATTCATATCCTAAAAGCTCAATTCATATCCTAAAATTTCAATTTATAAACTAAAAGTTCAATTTATAAACTAAAAGTCCAATTCATATCCTAAAAATTTAATTCATATCCTAAAATTTTAATTTATAAACTAAAAGTTCAATTCATATCCAAAAAGTTCAATTCATAAGCTAAAAATTCAATTCATATCCAAAAGGTCCAATTCATAAACTAAAAGTTCAACTACAAATCCTAAAAGTTCAATTCATATCCTAAAATTTCAATTTATAAACTAAAAGTCCAATTCATATCCTAAAAGTTCAATTTATAAACTAAAAGTTCAATTCATAAACTAAAAGTTCAATTCATATCCAAAAAGTTCAATTCATAAACTAAAAATTCAATTCTTATCCAAAAGATCCAATTCATACACTTGTGAAGATCCTAATTAGTATATATAATTTATCATCAAATATATCTATTTGTAAATTGAGTCATCGACTTATAACTTATTTAGATGCATCGTTGAATATTAAAAACAAAACGTTTGACCTATATCTATATCTATATAGATAATGGTCGGGTTCTTTTAGGGATTGATAGACTTGTGAANGTGTATTAACCGATCAACTTTGGTCGGTAATTTTAAATAAGATTTTTTCATATTTTATAAAACATTTTAAATAATAATATAACTATTAAAATTTTATAACTGGGTCCCATATTACCGACCAAAGTTGGTCGGTAATGTGAAATTTTCTTTGACTAAACAAGTCTGACCAGCTCGGTTAAATTGTTGACCACTTTACCGGCTAACTTTGGTCGGTAATTTATTTAAAATAAATATAAAATATTTTTCTCCCCGTTTCCGACCAACTTTGATCGCAAAATTTTGGTCGCTAATTACCGAATTTCTAGTAGTGTTTGTAGCAATTGCTAGAGGAACCCATCCATTTTGTTCAGCAATTTGGAGGCCCTTTAGCAAGGCTTTTAATTCTGCCATAATGTTGATAGTGTGTAGTATATTCTCTATATACCCCATAATCCAATCCTCATTATGATTCCTTTTGTAAAAGACACATGAAAAAGGATTATGTAAGAGAAAAGACACACATGAGATTATCAATTAGTAACCACCCAAAGTGAAAAGAGGGAGAATTAGGGGTCATTTGGTACGCGAGATAAGGTGGGATAAGGTACGAGATTAAATTTATACCATATTTAGTTGACAGTATAAATTTATCCCGGATAAATTTATACTGTCAACCAAACATGGTATAAATTAATCCCAGTCTTAATACATGGTATTCCACCTTATCCCATCAAACTTGGGATTATATTATTTCACCTCCCAAGTGAAATAAATTAGTCCAAAAATTATAATTCTAGGATTATAATCTCAGGATAATATAGTTCGTGTACCAAACTAAATGTATAACTTTATGAGTTATAACATGTTATTACTCGAATCTTTTATGAGACCGGCTTGCGATAAAAAGTTACTTATTGTTGGAGTCGACTAAGCTTGATGATGAAAAAAAAATTTACACTGCCAGCACACATAATTTATAAACTTTGTGAAAATTCCAAAAGGACAAAAACTTAAAAAATAAAAAAATAAAAAGAGATAACATTATATAAATCCGTACTATGGAGTGATCTAAATTTCTTTTTAGTATCAATGTACATAAGTTAAACTCAATTAAATATATTTAAAAATAAGTTTAAGCTCTATAAATTAAAGGTGTAAAAATATTTCCGCAATCAAACTTTTTTAAAAGTTAATTAAAAGTAATTCTAATAAATATCATTAATTGGTATCCTTATACAAATTAAATTATAGTAGTATTAATTAAGTAAGAAATTCATTATACTATCTGGTCATATAACTTTAATCCAGGAAAATAGTTCCCTCTCTAACCGGCTTCTAAGTCTTTGCGGTCCAATCTGGCGTACGCGCACAACCTGCAGAGACAGACCCCATTTTATTACTCCCTACTTTTCTATGTTTGTCCATTTTTTGTGTATTACTACTTTTTTTTTTCTCCAACCAATCTCAATCGTGCAGGCAAACTTCCATTTTGATAAATTAACATAAGCAGACACAGTCTTATGTTTATGTTTTGTTTGTTGCATCAAACTGGAGCTCTGTGTACCTCTTAAAACCACCTCTGCTTAAACCAAGAAATTGTGGAGTTTCTGAGGTTAAGGGGGAAATGAATATGGATGTGAGGAAAATAGTTGTAATTGTGGAAGATTTGGAAGTATCAAGAACAGCTCTTCAATGGGCTCTTCATAATTTCTTACTTTATGGGGATTTAGTGATACTTCTCCACGTTTTCCCAAATTTAAAACCCAGAAGCAACAATAAGAAGCTCAGGAATCTCCGCCTCAAAGGTTTTCAATTGGCTCTGACTTTTCAAGATCTCTGCAACAATTATCCCAACGTAAGAGACTCTGTCTTTTTGATCCCATGTTGTTCTGTTTTGGATGTTGTTAGTTTAGTTTATCTTGTAATGTTATCTGATACAGAAGACATAGCTCTGGGGTTGATCTGTTACAGACCAAGACTGAGATTGTGGTCACTGAAGGGGACTCAGATGGAGGAAAGATTGCTGCTGTGGTTAGAGAGATTGGAGCTTCTGCTCTTGTTGTTGGACTTCATGATCATAGCTTCCTTTACAAGTAAGTTTCAAATTAATCACTCTTCTCTTTCTTTCCCAGAATGAAGCTTTTTCTTGTTTTTGACTTCTCAATCTCATGTTGATCTGAAGTTTTCTTTGGTTGGGAAATAAGTTATACTAGGAATAATTATTTCGGGATTAGTTATTTCAGAATTGTTATTTCAGGATTGGCATAAAAATAAAAATAACATTACAATCCCGAAATAACTCATCTCAAATATAATCTCGAGATTAATTATCATTTATCTCTTCTATCACACGAGCCCATATTAATTAAATGATTAGGATTGTGTGTACTGAATTATTTCAGTATAGATAGAGAATGGATAGATAAAGAATGGTTGCATTAAAGGCCTACAACCATGGGTTGGTCAACTCTCCACACCTTTTTTTTTTGCCCCTTTTGGATTTAGCTATGATTAATGTTGAGCCCTCTTTCAGTTGAAATTTGCACTAGCCCATTGGCCGGCCGTTTCATGCAACAGTGTGCTCATTATTTGACTGCTTAATTTTTGATCTCCACTTCCAACTAAAAAATTGTGAGTTCCAGTCTCCCCAAGAGCAAGGTAGAAAGTTCTTGGAGGGAAGGATGTCAAAGGTATATTTGGAAACAGCCTCTCTATCCTAGGGTAGGGGTAAGGTCTGCGTACACACTATCCTCCGTAGATCCCACTAAGTGAGATTATACTGGATTATTGTTGTTGTGTACCAGATGATCCTCATAATAACATATCCTTAAAATTTGTTTTGGTCTCTCAGATTCTTGTGCACATGGATAGTTGATCACTGAAAGACACACAATTACTGCTATGAAATTAGAAACCTAGCCAGACTTTCATATCCTATCTGCTAACATATCTGACCACAAATGGGCTGGAACTATGAAGCAAGAACCACTTGTATTGTATGGCGGGAACTCTGACGACACTAACCCATAGGTCATATAATTAGAAATATTTGGTTGTACCGGGCGGTGGCAAAATAGATAAAAGAAAACAGTTATTCATTTATATTATCTACTCCCTCTGTTCCAATTTATGTGAACCTATTTGACTAGACACGAAGTTTAAGAAAAATGAAGACTTTTGGAATTTGTGGTCCTAAACAAGTCAAAAGGGGGTCCATAGTATTTGTGTGGTTACAAAAGCTTCTCATTAAGGACAGAATTGTAAGTTTAAGCTAAATTGTTTTCAAATTTAGAAAGGAGTCATTATTTTTGGAACGGACCAAAAAGGAAATAGGTTCACATAAACTGAAATGGAGGGAGTATTAAAAATGGGCTGGATAATGAAAATTTTAAAAACGGGTCAAATATGAATAGGAAGTAAAAATAGGACGGTATAGCCAGTTTTCGGACTGGTCATTCAAAAATAGCCAGCGTTTACGAAGTCAATGAAAAATAGCCACTATTTTGCTGCAACAGAGATCGGTCCAGCATAATATACTGGAGTTCGGTGCACCTGTGTATGAACTCCAGCATATTATGCTGGACCGGTATACTTTGCTGACTCCAGTATATTATACTGGACAATTATACTTGCTGGAACTCCAGTATATTATGCTAGAGTTCTAGTGTACTTATGCTGGAACTCCATCATATTATGCTGGAGTTCCAGCATACTTATCCTGGAACTCCAGTATAATATGCTGGAGTTCAAGCATACTTATGCTGGAACTCCAGTATAATATACTGACGTATTTTTCGGGTTTTGAACAGTGTTTTCGCTCAGATTTATCTTTACATGAAAAGTGGCTAAATTTCGATTACTTTTGAAACTGGGCTATTTTTGAACGACCAGTTGTAAATCTGGTTATTTTTGAATTTCTCCCGAATAGGAACCATATTATCTACAAGCAATCGATAACTAATGGGTTTAACTTTTACATTTGCAAATCCTTAGCTTTTTGAATATGATCACTTTTGAAAAATTCTTATTTTCTATCTGTATTAAGTATGAGTCGAATTGGATAATTTATTCGTATTTGTGTTACCTGTTTCGACTCGCCTATATCTTATTCAAGCCGCCCATTTGCCACCCCTAGTTGCACCTAATTCTATAGTTAAGAGAGCTAGAAAATAATGCTAGACGACGGCAAATTTTTTTTTCCACCTATAATAACTTAACAACGATGAATTCACGGTAATCGTTACGCTCTGTGCGGACCACTTCATCTGCAATGATATATTATCTTAGAAATATTCAATAGTGGAACTAAAACTAGATACTTTATTTATTTATTTCTTGCATAGGATGGCCATGGCCGAGAACAATATAGCAAGCAATTTGAATTGCAAAGTGCTAGCTATCAAGCAACCAACGTCATTGACCACTACAAGGAAAAGGACTATATCTTTACCTGACAGTTCAACCAACATGGACTTCTCACAGATTGAAATATCTTCACTGAGGTAAGAATATCATTCCTAATCTCATGCATTTCCTTTTCTTACTTTGATCCAATTCAGTTACCTGCTCCATATACTATAATCTGTGATCCAGACTCTTGTATATAATCGCACTAAAAAATTAAAGTGATAAGGTTCCCTATCTTCTTCTATTTTGTTTATGGAACTATTAGCTTAAAGTGGTAAACAAAATTGTACTATATTTTACTAAGTGAAGTTGTGTGTGAAAAGGACTAAATAAAGCAATATGATATAGCTGGAGACAATAGAAATGAAGGACAGGTTTCCAGTACAAGCAAAAAGCTATCAAGAAATAAATGAGTTTGTTACCTGTCATCTTGACAGCTCATGTTGGAAGACATCCATTTGTTATGGTCATGCAGCTTTTAGGAAAATTACTTATATATATCCCGTCGAACCACGGACCAGGAGGTCACATGTTCGAGTCGTGAAAACAGTCACTTACAAAAATATAGGATAAGACTGCTTGTGATCTCGCCCCGCGCATAACGGGAACTTAGTGCACCAGGCTATCTTTTTTTTGTTGTTGTTTACTCTCTCCATTTCATATTAGATGAGGTATTTTCCTTTTTAGTCTGTTCCAAAATAAATGACACATTTCTAAATTTGGAAATAATTCAACTTTAAACTCTTTCATTTTATCTATTTACCCTTAATGAGATATTTTTATAGCCACACAAATATCATGGCCCCACAAACCTTTTACCCCTTAAGCTTTCAAGACCACAAAGTTTTAAAAGTCTTCTTTTTTCTTAAATTCTGTGTCGAGTCAAACTATCTCATCTAATATGAAATGGAGAGAGTAATTTCTACGACAAATTATATTAATTAGTCATAGTTAAGTAATGAATTGATATGAAAATACTACGGTTAAGTGATAAACTTGTATTCAAAAGGCACATGTTACGTACTTATTGAATTGGTATAATCATCTGAGACGAATAATTATTTCCGTTCTTTCAAGAAGTCAAAGAGTGTTTCTTACATACTTTTCTAAAATTATGAAAATTGAAATTTTTATCTTTTGTAATCTAAAATTAAGATAATGTATACATCAATCTATTATTAGGGCTGAGAGGATACATAATTTTAGCAATATTTGGAGGATTATGGATAAATCATCCATGAAATGACCCCAAAGAAGATAAACAAAGAAGATTTGTGGCCCACGAACTATTGATAATTGAATTGGTATAATGCGTGCAGTGTCCCTGAAGTTGGCCCACCAAGAATTCCATACCAAGTTTGTCCAGACCCTCATGCTATTATTTGGAGAACAGGGAGATCCAGAAGATGGACAATAAGAGATTAAATCCAAGAAATATTTTCCATTTCAACGAGGAATTATGTATATCTGTTGTTATTAATTTTTTGATGGCAACAGTGGTTCTTGAATTTGATAGTTTGACCCACACAGCACAGAACAAAGGGAAAAAAAAGGTTTACGAAATTCATTGAGTTGATGGTAATCTGGTAAATGAAGATTCATATTCATGCAATTTTAGCAAAAATAGCGAATGATTGGCAAGGTTACAATACATATGACTTCAGAAGAGCCAATTTTAACACTACATATTTTGGACTTTGAACCAATGGGTGAAGGTGAATGATAGAAATAGGATACTTGTGTGCTACTATTGATTTTTTGACCATGTTTGTCACATTGGCGGCACTTTAAGTTTAGTAAGTATTATTTTTAATGAAGATTTGAGAGCTTCAATGAAGACGACAATGGCGGAAACAGAAGAGAATGTTTTAGAGAAAATTTTCTATTTGAGAGAAAAACTAGCTTGTATTATTGAAGCTCTATCTTTACAATGAGCTGATACTATATAT